GCTGGAGGCAAAGTTCAGCCACTCTTCCAATTCCAAATTAAATAAAGGACAGGAGGCTCAGAACCAGGTGCCTTTCTGGAGGCTTGACTTCTAGGTCATCAGAAAGCTGGTGAAACTACAGTAGTAGTGTTTTAGTAGTGTTTTAGTGTTGGCTCTTTTGCCTATGCTCTGGCTATAGTTATTATTACTATTAATAACTACAGTATTGCTATTACTAAAAAATGTAAATACCAGACCAGTCATACAATGCCACCTTGCTCAACACATAAGCAGTTCTTCACCATCTTCTGGTATGTGCTCATAAACAGAGCTGAGAAATGTTATTTTTTTGGTAACAGCAACTCCTAGCATCTTCCATACCTATAAATGGCCCTGCTGCCTGGGGGATTCTGGAACTTGTAGTCCAAATATAACTCTTCCAAGTTCTGCTCAGAAATGAAATCTGGCAAAATGGAAACATCAAATAAGTCAACAAGAGATTAAAAACAGTAGGATAAAGAACAGATATTATTCCAGTACATTTTATAGCTTCTTCTTGTACTTTAGTCTAAAGAATGAGGACAATTGAACGGGATAATTTGTTTATTCTGAATTTCCCTGTTAAAGGACCATAACAATTAAAACATTCCAAAATATGTTGCTACCCTAATTATGTTTTGTCTATCACCTGTACTCAAAAGTACCAGATGAACATGTGGAGCAAGCAATTGTGGATGCAGTATTTCCCACTAACACAGCATTCTTTCTCTCCAGCTGTCCTAATTGGGCAATTCCTGCTATTATCCGGATCTACATAGAATGTGCTTAGTTCACATTACATTGTCCTCATGAAAGTACAGCTGAGAACAAGAGGGACTGCTGCCATGTAGGAGAAAATGTCCGGAGTGCACTTACTTGCTTGTTGTTGTTTGCTTCGTGGGCACCAAATGCTGTTGTCTCCAGTGGGAAGGGTTGAAGAAGAAGTACTAAGGAGAAGGTCCAGCCCAAGGGTGTTTCCGTGACTGGAGGGCTGCTCTTTTTCCTCATGGATATCATTTAGATGCCTTCCACTCAGACCATATTGCTTGCATTGGTCTTTTTGAGATGTCTTTCTAACACAGTTGAAATGTGGTGACTTTATGATTAGCAAAGATAGTGAAAACCTCGGCCACCACACATCAGGCTTTCCTCTTCTCTCTGAGCTTAGCTGCAGTCCTCACTGTAGCTGGTTGTAGGGAGTGGATTTTCGCAAACAGTAAATTGTTGTGAATCATCCTATTTGTATTGCAGAGTACAGTATTTGGAGGTTGGAGTGGCTGAGTCTTGAATGGCAAATCAAGCGCCATTGACTTTACAAATGGCCTGCTCCTAGAGGATTTAAAAGTGCTAGAATTAGTTTGTCGATTGGGCTGACACCTCTATGTTTTCGGAATTCTTTGGAGGTGTTGCCATTGTGTGTGTGTGTGTGTGTGTGTGTGTGTGTGTGTTACGAGCACCTGTCCACCTGTCTTTCAAAATGTATCAGTGCTCCACTGTCTTTTAGAAATTTAGTGGGCATCCCACTACACCCAGGGGGTCCAAATGGAGCCCCTCCAGCACCTCTGGGGGATCCCAGCCCCCACACCCGATTTTTAAAAAAAAGTAAACATAAACCCCATTGTGTTCAGGAAGTTCCTTTCTGCCCTCTAGGGGGCATTGGAGGTAATGATCCGGTATTTTGGTCATCCCAAATGCATGAGGGGAGTTTGCAACTTAAAAAAACCCCCAAAACCCAGCTTTCTGTGTCTTCATGGCTTGAGTTCCATTGACAGATCCCCCTTCCTGAGCCCCTCTTGGAACCACATCTAAGGAATCGGAAGGGTGAAAGATAAAGTGACACAGACAGTTCAGCTTCCTATAAATCAGCATGTCTTGCTTTGGTTTTGAAATCGATGTTGGGGTTTCTTTGCCTGCATCCGGCTGGGCTGAGTCACAGCTGTCTGGCCACAAGAGAAACAGCTGGCAACAATAAAGTATTGTTTAGCTGCTGGAAGTGCTTTAGTGTTTCAGAAACAGGCAAACTTCAGCTTGCAAGCCAGCCATCAAAGTATCCAGATCCTAATTTGCTTTGGCATCTGGGAATCAATCCCAAATCATCTGAGGACATGTGACAACTGAAGGTGTATACAGCGCTGCAGCCTGTCCTTGGCTCCTGTTATACAAGGTGGGCTGCAGATGTTTTAAATAAACAAGCAAGCAAGGAAAACTACAGCTCTGTGCTAGTTAAAAATCAAGTCCTGTCACAGATGGGTGTGCATTGCTCTAATTGAGTTTAATGAAAGATGTTTTTTTCAGGAAGACAACAAGGAAAGTGTCAGAGCACACTGGCATTGGGACAGGAAATGCATTTGGGATGCCTGGATAAAGGGGAATTGCTGAATTGGTTCTAGGAAGCTGACATTTGACATTCTTTCCTGGTTCAGGTGGCCACGTTCTGGTACTTTGGACCCTGGTTTAAGAGAACAGGAATATGGTTTACAGCCTCCCTACCCCTCCTTTTCCCAATGCCAAGGGAAGGATTCCTTCCCTTTCTGTTTTTTTTCTACCCAAACTTTACTTACAATATGTGAATTGGGGAAGTTGGCATTCAAGTGGGGGAAGTGGACATCCATGGTTTGGTCTGGTCCATATCTTACCTGATTTGAAATATTAGAAGGTGGGATCCAAATGAGGAGGGATTCTGAGCTCTTTCGAAAATCACCTTATATTTACAGGTACGCTGGTTATTTGTTGTACAGTTTACATCCAGTTTCTCCCTACATTCCTCCTTTCTTTTTTCACTGGAGTGGAATGCAACCAACCCGTCCCCCCGTGGCACAACCTCCCCTATGTTCTCATAGGTGGCTAACTCATGCTAGGCCTAGCGGAAGAGGAAGTGAAGAAGTCAAACAGTGGGGAATCACTGATTTTTTTCACTTATTGATTTGTCAGGATGGAAGGAAACATAATCCTGTGTCAGTGAATGTCTTAAAGAGTTGTCTGTGCATGCACGTGATGTATCTGTCGTGTTGCTTGCACAATGTGCACAGTAGAACCAGTTGTAGTTTCACAATTAGTATTAGGTAAGAACTTGGGAGACCTAGGTTGAAATTGTCAACTGACCGTGAAGCTTACGTGGTGACCTTGGGCCAATGTCTCTCTTTCAGTCCGGCCTCCCTCACAGGCTTGTTTCGAAGGGAATATGGGAAGGACAAGACTTGTATGTGTCACCTTGAGCTTATGGGAGGAAGGGCATGATATAGATGTGACGAATAAATGAAGAGGCCCATCTTTGCTGCCTGAGTAAGACTGGGGAAACCGTGTGCCTGGAACCTCCCACCATCATTCACCATTGTCCAGGTCGCTTGGAGTTTGGAATCCAACACCCTCTGGAGCACCAGAGTTCTCCCAGTTTTGCTGGAAAATGTGTTTCCACCCTGTGGAATCCATTCCTGTTGGGAAATGTAGAAAAGTCCAGGAATTCGGATATCTGTTGAGTTTTCCACTCTTTGCAGCTGAGGAGAGTAAATCTGTAGCCAGCTTCTCTCGTGGGCAGTAGCCCTGAATGGGAAGTGAGGGTGGTTGGGTAAGTAATAAAAGAGCAAGCGTTGCGGATTGTGGTACTAAAGTGTTCACCACAGGTGGCTGTGGCATCTACCAACTGCTCTATTCCAAGCATCAAAAAGTGAATGATCTTTTATGGGGCCGCAATTCCCAGAATTCCATACCTCCTTGTGGAGTTCCGGGAGTGGTCGTTCCAAAATGTTGACTTGACCAAGCTCTGATTCTCTTTCAGCAAACAGAACTGGGTTTCAAGGGGAGCCCATTCCTGGCCACTGCCTTTGGCAGAGGTTCCCTAGTAATCTTAGGCTGTTTGTGTTTGTTCTGACAACAACTAGGACCCATATCTTCTGTGAGTCAGTCACGCCCCATAAATAGGCCTCTGTTCGCAAAAAGGCAAGAGTGCTGACGTCTGACACCTTGTGAAGGAGGGTCTGTTCCAAATTGATAAACACTTCTAAAGGGTGGAATTGGCCCAGTCGAAAACCAAAAGATTAAGCTGGGAAAGGGTGAGACAGCTGTTTCTGATTAGCATGTGCTTAACCACAAAGATTACTCACCTTGTTGCCATAAACGGTGCCCCATCGAACAAAGGCCAGATCATGGGACACATCCCACCTTACTTGAGACTAAGACTGTTCAGCCTGTGAGGGCTTGCTTGTTCAGTCCAGCATAAAAAAAATACAGAGAGGAGAGGTCGCACCCTCCTCTGCAATTGAGGCCTGGTCCATTCTCAGTTGACTTTCAGATTGCCAACATCCAACAAATAACATCCTAATACCGGGGGGGGGGGGGGATCTGTGCATGCAGAGGTAGAGAGAGAGCAGAGGGCATTCCCTGGCCTGAAGGTACGCAGCTGTTTCCCATGCTTACGAGTCTTCACTCCAAGAAATGTATCAATGGACAAAGTCTGACCCATAATCCTTACTCAGTGGGCGCTCCAGCTGTGTCGTCTGCATGAAGCAAGAACAAGAACAGGGGAATCAACACACATCCCACAAGCTGTTGCGCCCCCCCCCCCATTGTTGCACTGCTCAGCCCTCTCCAGCCTGTTCTCCTGAGGGAGGGAGTTCCAAAGTCTGGGAGGAGCGGAAGAGAAAGCCCTCTCCTGCTGCTCCATGAGACCACACTTTCCTAGGTCTGAACAACAATATATCTCGAGACACAATCCTGGCCTGAGCCTGGGAAATATTGTAATATTACACAGAGCACAGATTAACCCAGATAAGCTATGCAGATGCCTTGTCTAGAGGCATCCAGCAGTCACATATAACACATTGCTGGGTGAAAAGCCTGTGACTTTTAACACTGCAACGCTGTGTGTAATCTTGTCAGTTTGGGTGTGCTTCAGGTGCAGGAGGCTCCCCTCAGCCTTGGCCTCTCCTTCCTTCCTTCCCAGAACCCAGGGACTAAATTTAGGGAGGAGCGCCACTGCAGAGCTGTGTGGCCTGCTTTCTTGAGAAAACCCTCTGTGCTGCCCCCTTTCCGCTCCTCGAGGTGACCAAGCAAATATTTCTGGCAGGCTGTAGTGGAGAAGTCAGCAAAATCTGTGCTTGATTTAGGGGAGGCTGGTGAGTAAGAAATGAACTGCTTCGCCAGCCATCTGGAAAACACCTTTCTGGAAGATGCGAGGGAAGTGAAAACGAGAAGAAATTGATGATTAAGAGGCTGGAGGATGGGAGATTTAAATTGAAAGAGCTGCTATTTGCTGAGTCATCTTTAACGGGCCCCAGTTGTGACCCAAGGAAAGGTACTGTGCTGACTGGGGATTCTGGGAGCTGTAGTCTAAAAAATGAAAATTTCCCCAAACTACCTCAGTATGACCATATTCAAAGTTAACACAACAGAATAAAAATAACATTGTGCTCCCAGACCATCTATATTGTGCAAACCAAATCATGCAAAACTGCATACAGTATTCTGCACTGGTATGCAGCATTCTGGGTGTGTTAATAATGCGAAAACCAGCTTCTTGATGATGAAGGCTACTGTGGTTATCAGGAAGCTGGAATTGGCACCCGCTACCACATTCTGTGCTTTTTTCCTGTGACTGCGTACGTGTTGAAATTCTGGTCAGATATAAACACTGGAATGTGCATTTGGGCTGCAAAACTCAGCTTCCTGTTAATCACAGCTTTCATTGTGAAAACCAAGTTTCTGTTTTAAGCAAGAAGTGAGAACAGAGGCAGGTGGAAATTGACTTTGGTTTGCCAGGTGAAGAAAACAAGTGTTATGTGTTTTTGTTAAATGAACTTCTTATCTTTCTTTTTCTTTTTTGCTGATTGTCCTTTGCTTTAACCTTCTGTGGTTCTCCTCTGCCCATAAAGCATAAGTTAATTAAGCTGTGCGGGGCATCGTGTTGTTAGTGACACCATTCAGTTGTTTAAAGCATGAGAAGATAAGGTTGGTTGGACTTTGAACCTGTTAAGGCACAAGGATTAAAGTATAGTTTTCAAATGTAGTTGTCTGTATTCCCTTTTTGGCCTCTCATCCAGCCTGAGAGGGTGTCCCATTGACATGCCACTAAACTCTCAATGGAGGACTGCAATTGAATACCAGTACACTGACCAAAACCCAAACCTAAACCAATACAAAACAAAAGAAAGCATGTGATGTTCTGGAGGAGGGCACTGCAGGGATTATTATTGAGGCCTGGCCGGGTGAAGAGGGAAGCCCTTATCTTTCCCAGCTGTGCCTCTCAAATATCTTGGTATAGCAGTCCTGACTCGGCAGAAAGGGGGAGGCTTGGTGGTCTTTTGCAAAACTTGGAGGTGCTGTTTTTTTAGGGGGACTACAGCTTCCAAAATGTCCATGTGGCCTGAAGAATTCTGAAAACGGTAGTCCAAAAAGTAACTTTTAAAAGCATCAGTCTCTTGTGATGCCATCCTTTGTCCCGCGAAGAGTGAGGTTCGCAGCTTGGGGGTCCATCTGGATTCAGAGCTCACCACGGAAACCCAGGTAGCATCGGTGGTCCGCTCTGCCTATTTCCATTTCTGGCAGATTGCCCAGCTGCATCCCTACCTTGAGGTTGGGGCGCTCACCACGCTGGTCCATGTGCTTGTAATCTCAAAATTAGACTACTGGAATGCGCTCTACATGGGGCTACCTTTGAGATTGATGCAGAAGCTTCAAATGTTGCAGAATGCGGCAGCCAGACTTCTCACTGGGGTGAGAAACCATCAACATATCTCCCCCACTCTGGCTGCCTTGCATTGGCTGCCCATTCGTTCCCACATTGATTTCATGGTGTTAATGATGACATAAAAAGCCCAAACAGTTTAGGACCTCAATATCTAGTGGAACTCCTCCTCCCACCGAGGTCTACCAGAATCACTTGTGCTAGCCAGGACAGGCGGCTGAGGGGCCTAACGGTGAGGGAGGCCCGTAGAGAAAGAAACTGGGCCTTCTCAGCAGTTGCCCCTCGCCTCACCTCTGGAACAGTCTGCCCCAGAGATCTGTCTGGCTCCCTCGCTGGTTTTTTTAAAGAGCAATCTTAATGCCTGGCTCTTTAGGCAGGCTTTCCCTCCTGTCATCACCTAATTACTTCTGCCATCTTGAATTATATTATTACTGATGTTTTTATCTTACTATATTATTTTTACTTTTATGCATTATTGTTAGCCGCCCAGAGTAGACTTTGGTCTAGATGAGCAGGGTATAAATTGAATAAATAAATACATAAGTAAAATAAATTCCTGGTTCCCCCCCAAGCGCTTATGGGAGTTGCAGTCCAAAACATATAAAGGTCTGTCGTTCCTCTGTCTCAGCTTTCTTATGACTTGTTAAAAAGAGAAAGGGCCTTACCACTACCACTTACAGTGGGGTCTTGACTTGAGAACTTAATCCGTATTGGAAGGCGGTTCTCAAGTCAAAAAGTCTGTAAGTCAAGTCTCCATTGACCTACAGTGCATTGAAAACCGATTAATCCCGTAACAGGCCGTTTTTGTTCCATTTTGTTTTTTTTCTGGTCTGTAAGTCAAATCTCAGTCTGCAAGTCAAACCTAAATTTTGCAGCCAGAGAAGTCTGTAACTCAAAAAGTCTGTAAGTCAAGCCGTCTGTAAGTCAAGGGTCCACTGTATCTGGTGGTGGTAACCCCTCACCATGGAAGTATGGCTGGTGCCAGCTTTGCTACAGTTTCTGTGCTAGTATAAAAACAGTTTGGTTTGCTTTTGTTTGTCCTTTTATACTTAGTTTTATACCTGTTTTATGCCGATTTTATGTTTTGTTTGTTGCATATTTGTATTATGTGACAATTTTGAGATCTCATTTGTGCCTTTGGAACAAATCAGAGCAAAGATAAACAAAACTGCACCACCACCCATCAGTAGTGTAAAACAACAAACAAACAAACAAAAACTAGAAAACAAGGGGCTTTTTTGGTCCTGCATTGATTTTCTTGATACTAGTTTCAGCCCTGCATTATGTGCATGTAACACTTTTGAGTTCTATGAGGCTATTTATTTAGATATCTATTGATGCACCCTGCATTATGTGCATGTAACACTTTTGAATTCTATGAGGCTATTTATTTATTTAGATATCTATCGATGCAGCTTGCAAACACAGTTTCACAAATTGAGTCTATTCTTAGTTATGTAACTGCCATTATAATAGCAACAAAATGCTACAATTTGTGCCCCTAAGACCTCGGCAGCGGCACTAATATGGATGTTGCTTGTAGACTTGCAAAGTTTAAGTGTCCTTTTAAATTAAAATTCAGACAAAAATCCAGTATATCTTCTTGGGTATCAACAACACAAGAACTGCAACTGAATATGCACTACTCTATTTCAAAACCCTACAATAAAATATCAACTCAGTTGCATATACATGAATTCACTTGGTGGATTCACTTCTTCAACACCTACATATAGGACTTACACCTAGACCAAATTGACAAGGGTCTTAGCCATTAAGTAGCAAAAGCAGGTCCAGCCTCTTCAGCTGTGCCACTCTTTCTGATTCAGATCTCTTACTCACAGCTCTGCCCTTTCTTAGTCCCACTCTTTTGGGCTGAACTAATATTTCATATGGCTTGTGTGTGGATGCTGAAATGCTGTACAGGTATCACAGGTTCAGGGAAAGTGGAACAAATGTGGATGAGGTTTGAAACAGAAAACACGGGTTAAAAACTCTGCTCAGCCATGGAAGCTCACTGGAGGAAGGCAATGGCAAACGATGCCTTGAACATCTCACATCATTTGGAAACTTGTTAAAGTGGCTGTAACTTGGAAATGATTTGACAGCATGTAACATCAGATGTGTACACTGTCTAGTTTTGTTGGAGGGCAGTTAAAATAAGTCTTCTTCGTCATCACCCCCCACTATTATTAATAGTGTCTTTGTTACTGCCATAATGTTGTCGCCATCAGTTCTGTTCTTTTTGGTTGTTCCTGGGATGGAGCTTTGGACAATCTTATGTCCCAGTGGCCTCATTATATAGATATTAACTAGCACCAGGGACCTGGCCGATCCTTGTCAGATCCCACATTGGGTTTCCCACAGAGAGCGGAGCTGACATCTCTAATTGCCACATTTGGCCTTGCGGGGGGGGGGGGGACGACAAAGCTGAAGGGTGTGTGTGTGTAAAGGAACAGCGTCAGTCCGAAGCCAGTGTTGATACCTTCGTGTTCTGAAGAGTGCAGCAATAACCCATGAATTCCATTGTCCAACACGGTGGAGGAGTGAAGCATTTCCCCTCTCTGTTCCCACAGGAGGACTGACTATGCTTGTCAAATTCATCTCTGGTCTATAACCAGCTCAGTAGCCAGAGGGAGGGAAAGGTCCAAGAAAGGTCCAGCTACATTCTGGCAGTGTACTTTTGGTCATGAAATATATATTTCATTTTAACTGTGTTTTAGTGTGCTCCCTGCCTTGAAATTACTTTGAAACTGTTTGGGGTTTTGTCCGTGGAGGGGGTCACGCCACGCCCAAGAGCAAGGGAAATGACGGCACCGTAAACATCATTCCCATGGAATTCCTGCAAAGGCAGGTGCTTCCCTGCTGTCGTTCCAGTTTCTGTGGCCTCAGGGATCATAAGGGAGGGCTGTGTTTTTAATTTTGCACTACTATTCACAGCAGGGTTGTTGTTTATTTAAGTGAAATGCAAAACTGCAAGCCCTTTGGCGAAAGAGCTGGCTTGTTTTTGTTGTGTTTGGAGCAGGTTTTGCTTTTGGAGAGAGGGAGGCTTGCTTACATCCTACCACTTTCTCTGGGGGAAGCATCACCAGAGGCCATGACCCTTTGGGTTGCTTTTCATTTTGCTATCAGACACCCTTGAATTTGTCCACTGTGCTTACTACCTGCAGTCTGCTGCCATCAACAAAATCCTTGACCTTCCCGTCTGTGGATCTGGGGAGATTAAAATATCCCAGTATGAACCCTGAACTGACTCCTAGGGGGCTCAATTGTTTCTAAACAGCCTGGGAGTGGAGGAAAGGAGATTGAGGAAAATGGTGTGTGTGGTTTTCCCTTTAAAAAGATAAGCAAAGCCTCTTTCTGAAAAGACAGACTGAGGATCAGTCATGTCATTCATGTAGTCTTAAATCTGAAATCCCTGGAATAGCTTTAATGAGGCTTTACTTCTAAGTGTCTCCTCATTTGTCCCAGAGTCTGGTTGGTGGATCTCAAGATTCTAGTAAGAAAATAAAACAAACAGAAGTAAAAAAAAAAAAAGCCAAAATAGATCCCTTGAAATTGAAATTAACCCACTCCTGCCGAACGACATGATTGCGATTTCGTTCGTAATTTTCTGCATGAGATTGGAAGGACAAGAGGACTGTGAAAGAGAAATGTCTTCAGGCTAACTAGTGAGAGCACAGAAACGGGATGGATTCCTGAGCAATTGGGACTAAGGCAGGCAGGCAGGCAGGCAGATGTAACTGTGGGAAGGATTTTGTTATCTTGCAAGGCCGCTGGTCATTTATCTGGACATGGGAGCATTTGAAGAGAGCCAGAGCTCAGCCTTATGCTTTTCGTCACTAAGGTTGCTGCTCATGGTTTCTGAGTATCACATTGTCTGTTGAGTGTCATCCCAACCGAGACACACAGAAGCCTATCCTGAGATGGCCTTGTTTTGGAAGGCAGCTGGCAAAGGGATCTCGCTAGCAGCAAATATGCTGGGAAATAATTGGCACACAGGACTAATTGGGTCTGACAGGGCTTTCACAAAGGGAGTGTAGCCCTTAGCATAGCTTCCGTGCCTACTCTGGATGGGGAAAGGTGACGGCACAGTGGTGATATTGCCTGCCTCTCGCAAAATATGTGATATCATTAATTTGGCTATGAATGACCAGCTAAAAAGCTTGTTTGTGAAGGCTTCACCTCGAAGCACCATGTTGCATGTATGCTTGCTATTTGGGTCAACCCACGTATGTCACTGTGCGTATCGCTATTGAGCAACCGAGGCTGGGGCGCATGCAGCTTCCCTTTGGAGGTGGTTGAGCTACATCTGAATGCTCAGAGCACCTGTGTTCACAGTGTTCGCAATGGCGTTGTGAGCAGGCTGTGCAGTGCAGTGCAACTCACTCTCCGGTTGTCTGTTGGGAACAGTGAGAGTAGGAAAGCTTGAATAGGGCTTTGGACAATAATTTCATTAGGTGCAATGAAGCTGTCAGCTGAGAGAAACTATTTAGAGCAAAGGCATGCTGGAAATGTGCATTTAATGTTACTCCTTTGGACGTAGCTGCTAGAGAGAGAGAGAGAGAGAGAGACTGCATCCTGTTGGCTTTCATCCACTTCTTGGGAGATTTTGATGGATCTGATGCAGTCTCCCATGGACCGAGTTTGGCTATTCAAATGCATGACATTTTAGGGACCTTTACAACTCTCTTTCAACTGCCTCAGCGAGTAGCACCACCTCTGGTTGTAGCTGCTTCTTACCATATTCCATTACCTAGTAGGTTTTGTGTAAATAAAAAACATGTAACCCTCTCCCACTCCCTGTTCTTCCATTGCTACCTGCCAAGTACGCGTCATGTGAGAGCGAGTGTAAGGAAGAGAGAGAATGGAAAAACAGAGGTGGTGTGTGATCGTCAAGGACAATTTTGCATCCCTGGTTATGGGCTGAGATTCTTGACCTGATCTCCATCCAGCACAGGGAGACGGGCAAGAGGATCACTGGACGCTATGGGAGTGGCTCCTCTGTGGGGTAGAAAAGACAGTCGGGGCGAGGAAGGTGGGTGTGGACATGGGCTGTCCGGTGGATGGGGTCAGCTGGGACAGCATAGCAGATGGCCCCTTTGGGAGGAGGAATAAAAATCAAAAGTATCTCCTCACATTGAACAGAAGCACATTCTTTGACCTTAAAAAAAAAACCCTGCTATTCTGCTTTTAGTCAACTTCCACCAATATAAAGAGTTAAACAAAACACAAACTAAACAGCAGGAGGAACAATGAGAGACATGGTTCACTATTACTGTCGTTGTTAGGCTCAGAATTGCACCATACGATCTTTGCTCAGCAACTTCGAACTTCTGTTCATGATCCTCCCCCCCCTCCACCCAAATAGCCACTCCTCTTCTTTTTCTAAGGTCAGAAGCTGAAATATCGATTTACCTCAGCCACCCAGTGGGACTCTGAACCTGCATCACCATCTGTGTATGTATGTGTGTGTGTGACCAATTTAACAGCCTACACAGTGCTTTGGCTCTGGTTCAAGCATGGAAGATCTCTGGGCTATGGAGGACCTCCTTGTAATCCGCCAGCTTTTTAAAAACGAGATTGCACCCCTTTTCACTAGGATCCCTTTCTTAGTGTGCAGCAGTGAAAAACTCTTTATCTCCACGTGTTACAGGCTATTCCCTCATTAGGGAAATTGATAGTGTTCCCTCAATGACAGCTAATTTTAAAAAAATGATCATTCAATATAGGAGCATCAACAGAGGTGGGAGGTGGTGATATCCGTGCCCCATAGGCCCAGATAAGGAGAGATGAAGTTTGTATATCTGAGAATGAGAAAGGGAGAGGTGAGAATTCAGTTTAGGTGTATATTTGAGGCACTGGCTGCCTTTCTTTGGGGAATCTGCTGCAGGAATGGGGTGCAGACGCTCTTAGCTTTCACTCATGCCCTGCTTATGTATTTCTAGATAATTCAGATATTTCCCATGCCCTCAAGCCATAAGCTTCCAGTTCTATTCCATCCAAAGGCAGTCAGAGTGCTGAAAATCTCATTGCTAGGGAAAGTGGGGGATATGCAACACAAGGAAGTCTTTTAGCAGCATTCCTAGTGGTTGCATGTGCTGCTTCAATGAATTTTGTTTACTTTTGTTCAACCTCGGAAACTTTGCTTCAGTCCCCTATCAAGTGAAAACCTCTGAATTTATTTGCTGTGTGTGGGATGAGGTTGGTGGTTGGGGAAGATTTAATGCCTGATAGTGTTGCTGTGAAGCCAGGGTTTGTTGGGTTGATGCACAAAATCTTTTGGTTGGCAAGCATGATGCCACGTGATGCCAGCACCTCCGCCCCCAAAGGCGACCTGGGCTACCTTGTTCCTCTCAGATTAGCTGGAATCCTCATAGGAACTGAAGACAAAACCAACTTTTCCACATATGCTGCTATGAATGACAACCATACTATTGTAATGTGGAGAGTTTAAGAGATCCTAGAAGAAGCATGCTCAGGCAGGATCTTTCCCTCCCTGAGGGTTTGTAGAGGGCTCGGGAGAAGAATGCTCTACCTTTGGAGAGTATGAGATGCTTTCCATAAAGATCGTATTGTCTCCACCTGTCACTTTGAGTTGGGTGGACGTCCAAGAGAGGAACCAGGCCTTGAAGCAGGATGACTTTTTGATCAGCAGGGATGAGGACATCATCAGCCACTCCTGGGCTTCCATTTCACCTCTGAGCTTTGCTGCAGTTCTGATAGCAGCTGGCTGACAAATGTGTTTTTTTTTCTTGCAACACTTTTTCCTTGTTGAGCACTATCCTGGTTGTCATGCAGAGGATTCTGGCACTGTGTGGCCCTGCCTGGCAATGAAGACCTGCACATCTGGTGGTGATGAAAAAGGGCTAGAACTGGTCTCTCAATGTGGGGTCAATCTGGTCACTTGAGTGTTTGCCCTCTTGAAAGTGCAAGAGGAGAAGAACATGTACAACATCCTTTGATTGACCCAGAAGCTCTTGTGTTGCCAGGTAGGAGGACCCTCATTTCCATTCTCTCCTCTCTTGTTTCTCCATGTAGGGGCAGCCTATGGGCTCCTTCCGCAGCCCTGCCGAGTGATGGTGCTACTGAATCCACAGAGTGGGTCGGGCCGGGCCCTGCCTCTCTTCAGATCGCAAGTGCAGCCCATGCTAACAGAAGCCAACATAGCGTTTGACTTGTTTGTCACAGGTAAGCATTGCATCTCATCCAAGGCCACCGTAGAAAGCAGTGGCTCTTCTTCTTCTTCTTCTTCCGGCGCAGAATGAGGCAGGCCTGTTCCTGTCCCAGGACCATTACCCAAAACAACGTTGTGCTCAAACCATTCTTCCCAGCTCCATTCCACACCTCACTCACAGCATTGCCTTCATTTCCCCATTTGGCAATGCTGTGAGATTGTGGAGACGCCAAGGACTACAGGGCATTTCCTTGTTTAGAGTTGCAGACAGTTTTAAGATGAATGGGCAACATTGGCTCTCAACTCACAGCATTGCCTTCATTTCCCCATTTGCCAATGCTGTGAGATTGTGGAGACGCCAACTGTTTAGAGTTGCAGACGGTTTTAAGATGAATGGGCAACGTTGGCTCTCACTCTGCTTTTGTAATCCAGCTCTCATAATCCCTCACTGTTGGCTAGGTTTGCTAGGCCTGATGGGAGTTGTAGGCCAAAACAAAACAAATCTAGTAAGGCACAACTTATTTACGACAGTATGTCCCAACCTATGGTCCCCAGATGTTTTTGGACTACAGTTCCCAGAAATCCTGGCCAACACAGGTAGTGCTGAAGGCTTCTGGAAGTTTAATTGGAAACTGCTGGTCAAAGAGACATCACTGGTCAAAGAGTACCACTACTTGCCCTGTTTAATTACCATATCTCCTGCCTACACATCTATTGAGTAACTTTAAAAAAACAGGCTGCAGGAGTCTCTGAAATAATAGGTTTTCACAGAGGCTCCAAGAACTCCAGGCAGCACCAGTAATGTGTCTGTTGTTGTGGTTCTTGAAGACTTGGAGATGCAGCAAACCACAATGAAGCCCTAATTTAAGGCCCTCCATATGTTTTGTAGTACAACTCTCACAAGCCTTTAGCATTGGGTGGGGGCTTTGGGGAACAGAAGTTCAAACTGTCTGAACTGGCGACTGCTGATGCTGTTCTAAGAAATGAAGGAGAAGAAGGACCCAGGATTACATCAGTCCCTGCTTGATCTGGCTGTCTTCTTCAGTACGTAACATATTTGGAGGAAGTAAAAATAGCTCAGGAAGCAGAACAATTTGCATCGCCGCTGTATTAGTGCAGCAGCTTTTAAGGATGTGTTTTGCCTGTTTCATTGGTAGTGTGAGATATAGTCCTTCAAACAGTTTGCCTCATGTAATCTTCGCTGCCTTCACTTGTTTTCTTTCGAAGGATGAGGCACAACTTAATTACCATTCTTTGCTGGTTGAGTAGCTTGATCATTTGGGATAGCTTACACTGATTTTAATTCTAATTAATTCTACCCCAATATGTATGTAGCTGAGAGCAGAGGTAAAGAAGATGGGAGGGTAGTATTATTTGTGAGAATGTGGGCTAGACTGACATTAATTTATACACTGCCACATTATCAGAAAACTGGTTGTTCTACCCAGTCAGCCACTCTCTGGCCCAATATTACTGCCACTCTATATTGGAAGGGACAGGAATCAATGGTGGACAGATGTTATTTCCTGCCTCATTAGTATAGGATTTTGGGGTCCTGAAGCTTGAACTGTTATGAGGGCCCTGTTGCAAGTAGCAACGAGGTCTGGGTAACCATTGTTATCTTGTTTGGTTGGGTTGTTCTGTAACAAATCACCACACATGTTTAAAAAGTGTGGACTAAAGTTGCTCCTGGGTCCCCTCCAGGGTTAGGGGCCCTGAAGTTTAAGCTTTATTAGTTTCACACTAGTTCTACCCCTGCAGGAATCCCCAAAGAATGCAGAGCTTCAGGCCAAAGCTCATTTTCAAAAAAAAATGTGTCCTTTCTTCTTGTACAGGGTTTTTGTTTTGTTTTGTTTTTTTTTTGCACAGCGGCGTGGACTGCTTTGTTAGGCATGTCTTCAGCATTAAACATGCAAAAGAACCTGTTCTGCACATTCAGAAATAATCCTGATGGCATGTTTTACTTTTTGATGTATTTCCACAGTTAGATCTTTTTTGCTACTTGAGGGAGAACTCCTTCTAGAAATGGATTTCTCTGAACATATGCTTTGGGCCCTATATCCCATTTGCAACAACCAGTGAAAGCAAGTGTACGTGCCTGTGTTTTTATCGTCTGTAGAATGTGCTTTTAATAGTCCATTGAAATGATTCAATTTTTTAGAAATTTGAAAGTATACACGGCCGCATCACTTGTTTGTCTTGATAGATTCTCTTTCTTTTTCCCTAGAGAAGCCCAACCATGCTTGGGATCTGGTGAGGGAAGAGGATATGTCCAGATGGGATGCCTTGGTTGCAATGGCTGGGGATGGCTTGCTCTATGAGGTAAGGAGGAGGGCAGGTGGGGTGTTGCTAACCCTTTGGGAACCTGGCTTGGCTGGCTGGACCATGGTGACACCAGCGTGCCTCCTGATCACCCTGACCCTCACCCCCACTGCAGAGGATCAGATGCTGCCCCGCTGCTTGAGGTGGGGGTACATAATTAGCAGAAAGGACCTCACCGCTTGCTCTGGTAGCACATTCTCATCTGTTACAGTGCAAACCTCTCTACTTCTTTGCAACTTTGCCATCAGCGTCCAAGCGCCAGCCACCAGACAAAAGAAAGTGAGCTGCCACTTGCAAAGATGAAAAAGAGGTTAGAGGGCAATGTGTTGCTTTGCTGCTTAAAGTTGGCTCTACTTTGTAGCTCTCCGGGCTTCTCTGTTTTGTCCCACAGCATGGTTGACGAGAATCAGTATGGAAGAGGGATCCTTTGTCTGCAGTAGCTGGGTTGAAGGAATAAAGCTACCAGAGTACAGTTGCCAGTGCTAAAGTTAGTAGAAATCCCCTTGAAGGATCCCCTTCTCTGCTGCTGTTCAAGACACAGGGAGCCAGTTCCTGATGGAGCCTTGTAACTCCAGGGCCGCTCTGGCCAGAAAGTTACAAGGTAGTAGAAATCCCCTTGAAGGATCCCCTTCTCTGCTGCTGTTCAAGACACAGGGAGCCAGTTCCTGATGGAGCCTTACAAGGAAATAAATTAAGGGAAGGCCTCAGCGGAGGGAAAGGTGAAAGACGTTGTCTAAAATAAAATAAGACACCACCCCTAAAATGTGGAACATTACCAATTTATATTACCAATTAATTTCAACAGTCTTAAAAATGTAGAAAATAGAATGTGAATTTGAATTCAGATCAATTCCTTAGAATTTGGGATTATTATTATTTTTTGCCTACCTTGTTATTGAGTTTACAACTTAACTCGTCTTGTCTGATTATGACTTGACATCCTATAACATGATATAAACTGTTGTGACGTTTCCCCCCCTGAAAAGGATTAAATGAAAATATCCATATAGAGGTAACAATGCTCCAGGAGGCAAGATCTGTTTGCAGCAAAAGCTGGTATGACCAGCACAAAACCATCACTCATTTGACAATTGGGCTGTTGTGGCATGGTGTATGAGCGTTTCCGTCAGGGTGGAGAACGCTTGCTTATTATTTATTCATTTCTGTGCGCACCTTTCTCCTGATATAGGGACACAAGGCATCTCATAAATGGTTGAAAACAAGCAGAATTGAAGACAATGAGTTGTAACATTAAAAATAGTCATACCGTACAATATTTTAAAACTCCTAATAACAACCCCGAGACTTATATGAGAAGCAAAGCATGTACTGCATCCTGCAACAAACTCAGTTGCCTGGTTCAGATGTTAAAGGCCTGACAAAAGGGAAAGGTCCTTGTTGGAGGGGGGGGGGCAACCAGACTTCTCTGCCGAAGGTATTTCATAATCTACTGGCAACACCTGAAAGGTCACTGGTTTGTGTCACCACCAGATATGGTGGTGAAACTCTTAAAATCCCGAGTAAAGGCATCCCTTCAAAAGGTGACGAAGGATGGCTTGAGGCCTAACTCCATGTCCCACCCCCTCCCTATGTTGTCTTTCTGCTTCTGGAAGCCCATGACAGATCTTGAAAATGGAGGACCACTTCTGTGAGGATGCTCCCTCATTGCTATCGAAGCCACTGTCCAAAGCGAGCAACGACTGCCTTGTGCTTTTCCTTTGAGTAGCTGCCCTCTTTGTGTCTTTGCAGATGATCAATGGGCTCATGGAACGTCCTGACTGGAGGTCGGTTACCCAAAAGCCTCTTTGCATCCTTCCCGGAGGCTCTGGGAATGCCTTGGCCGCTTCGCTCAATCACTATGCAAGGTAAGGAGGGGTCGTCACCCACAGACTGTAGCCTTCATGGCCACTGAGCAAGCCAGCACGCTTTGCCGTAACTGTCTGGCACAATTGCTTGAAGTTTTGGACCCCGAAAGTTGCCATCCTTAGCAACTTGTTATCAAGCCAGCACCTGGCCTCGTTCACTGTATTTGACAGGAGTTGGGATGCTGCCAGTGTTCTCCGCTCATTAACCCTTCATTGCTTTCCCGCCACTTCTTCCTTTTTCTTTCCATTGAAAAAACTACGAAAGAGAAGCAGATGACCTAGATGCACAGGGCCTTCTGACTGCTGTGGTGGTGGTGGGCCTTCTCTCAGGAAATCCCTGTATCCCTATCCGTGGATTAATGGGCTTTAAAGGGCAGGGCAGGGCATATAGGACTCCCAAGTTGGAGACAAGTGTGAAAAGCAGCATGAGGAACATTGACAGGCCTCTCTTGATGGATGATGGTGCAGCGTCTCTAGCACTGCTGCCATTTGCCTCATTTGCTCTCAGAAGCGGCAGTCTGGTAGCTTCACAGAGGCCACTTCACTGCGAATATCCTTGGCTCAAGTTTCAGTACCTCTGTCTGATGTTTCAACCATTGGTGCCGCCCCAACGCCCCCAACTCTGGCCTCTGCCCCCTTGCACAGCTGGCCACGTCTTCCATCTGCTCTGTGACTAATCCTCATTTCCTAGAGGGTTTTGCTTTGAGAAGGGGGAGGAAGAGGTGGGGCTGAGAATGTTGCTAATGGGTGCCTTTCCTCTCCTTGTCAAGGAGGCTCAGCCACCTGGCTTCTGCCAAGACAAGTCCTGCTGTTTAAATCTCTGGTTTCCACAGCAGGGAAATGAGGCCCCTCAGAACATGTGTGGGCCTGCTTGAAGTGTGCACGAGAGGAGCAAAAGTGAGCCAGGGCGAGGCTGCCTTGCACGTCTGAGTAGCAACCATTTTCTGCTTCTAATTTTTTTTTTCTTACTCTGGTTTCCTTTCCTTCATCCGCTTGGCACTGTAAGTAGTCGGGCTGCCCTGACCCGACTCTTGTAGAGCCCCTCCACTGTGTTATCCAAGTTACATTTGACTGCCTTGCAACATCTGCTGCCCTGGACCAAAGTCTTGGATTGGCTATCCAACTGACTTGGGAAGTGCCTTGCAGGAGTAAAATGGAGATTTTCCTCCCTTTTGCTGTTATGGGTAGGATCTGTTTATAGCACAAGGATAAAACAAAATAATCTCCACATGTGCCAGTCTGAGGAAGGGCGGGGTACCCACATAACAGAAAGATAAAAAGAGATACCTCTTGTTATGTGCCATCCAGTGGCCTTCAACTTCTAGCGACCCTATGAATGAACAACCTCCAAGATGTCATGTCCTCAACAACCCTGCTCAGCTCTTGCAGACTCAAGCCTTTAGAAAGTCAGTCCATGTCATATTTGGTCTTCTTTTCTTTCTGCCTGGGGCACAGTTATTCATCTTTCTGGTAGTCCAGCTCTCCTCCAGCGTCACATCTCAAAGGCATCAGTTTCCTACCAGCTTTCTTCACTTTGCAGCTTTCACAACCCATACATGATGGTAGCAAATACAAGAGTGTGGATGATCTTGTTCTGCAGTGACATGTCCTTAGACATGATGATGCTTCTTGCTTCTCCTTTACAGTTTTAAGTGTTTCTTTCATAATCTCAGATACCCAGTGTGATGTAGTGGATAAAGTGACAGATCAGGACCCTGGGTTAGATTTCCTGTTCAGCCCTGGAAACTCAACTGGGGTTGTGGAACTGAAAAAATCAATCCTTAAATCTCTCACTTACTTTGAAAGTTCTGCTTGGGTCGCTCTAAGTCAGTTCCAGCCAGGCTTTGTTCAGGCTGCACAAAAGGAACATATAAACTTCTAGTCAAAATATTGTGCATGTCTTACCTCCAAGTTTGCTTATTAGGTTCCTCAAACATTTCCAAAGCAGGAGTGAGGTTGGACAGTCTGTAGTGGCGGATAAGTGGATCCTTGAACGACCGCATATTAGTTAAGAAGCGTGATGATCCTTCCCTCCCCATCCTTGAACATTGTGCCCATTTATTATCATGGCTCTAAAGGTCTTGGGCCTTCTGCCAGTCTAGTTAGTTTCTGTCATCTGGTCAGATCAAAACTTGAGAACTGCTGTTCTGCTGTGTAAGGGACTGGACGCAAATGACTACCGATCTCCATCCTTCATCCAGTACTCTTACTTGCCACATGGGCTGCTATTTCTATTGCAGTTTTTTTCACTAACTTAACATCTCAGTTGGTTTACTTGAACTATGGCAAGGGTTGGATTAAGGGTTATTTGTAAGGTAAGGTTGGCAAATGGGGCCCTCCAGATTTTCTGAATCGACATCTCCCCTCAGCCTTCACAGCCAAGCTCTGGGAATTGCGGTCCCAAAATATTGGGGGAGGGGGGGAGAAGTGGAGGATGGGCAAAGGAATTCCATGAGAGGGTACCTGTACAGATCCCAATGAGCAGCAAGACTACATTCCCCATACAACCTTGCAGTGACTCCTAGGCAGCCTTGTTTGGAATGGAGATTGAGAAGCCTCTCCTTTGCTTGCCACTGGTTCTCTCCTACGCTTCTGCCTGGGGGAAATGCAGGTGAATTCTGGAGATGGAGAGTTCTTGAAATATATATATATAAAATTTCCTCATCCCTAGCATTACCCTTACCAATATGGCTGGTCCTTACCGTACTGAGGTAAAGCATGATACCAGTTATCACACAGGTCACTCTTCCCTTCATTTCCAGCCTGCTAGGATATGGTGCAGAGACAGCCCCACGGTCACTCTTCCCTTCATTTCCAGCCTGCTGTTGTCAGCCTAGCTAGGATATGGTGCAGAGACAGCCCCATGAGACAGGAGGACCTTTAGGATCACTTCTTAAATGTGACTAAATGTGAAGTAGGCATCAACCCCTGGAAATGAGCTCTGATGCAGCAGCCACACTGCGTCAGGGCCCACTGGTGCTGTGGTATGGAAAGGATGAGGCATCTCAATAATGGCATGTTTATTTTGGCATATTATACTCCAGATGTGTTTCAACCACTTGCCTTGTGTTATTCTTCTGTGCAATTGTATTTTCTCTCTCTTGTCTCCTGCTACAGCAAGGGCAATTTCGTCAAGGAAGATCTACTAATTAACTGCACTTACTTCCTCTGCAAGGGGCGGTATTCACCCATGGACATAGTGTCCCTGCGCACAGCTTCCGGCAAGCGCCTGTTTTCCTGCCTGAGCTTTGGCTGGGGTTTTGTCTCCGATGTAGACATTGTCAGCGAGAGATACCGGAAACTGGGCAGTGCCCGCTTCACAGTGGGCACATTCCAACTTCTCACCACACTCCAAGTCTACAAGGGCCGCCTCTCCTACCTGCCTGCTGAAGAGCAAGGCTCTGCTTCGGACTCCTCATTTCCAACAGGGACGCAGAACCACCCGTCAGCGCAGCACACCCACCGAGGCTCCTTCGACAACGGGAAGTTGCCAGTTCACATCCTCCCTCCATCTGTGCCTCCCTTCCCAAACGAGGGGTGCAACCTTGAGGACTCCTTGCTGGTCCCTTTTGAGCAACCAGTTCCCAAGCACTGGACGGTGGTGCCCGAGGAGGAGTTTGTCTCGATCGTATGCATCTATCAGTCCCATCTGGGAGCAGACCTTTTTTTGGCCCCCAGTGCCAAGCTGTACGACGACGCAATCCACATCTTCTACTTGAGTGCTGGGGTCTCCAGAATGGCTATGGTCAAACTCTTCATGGCTATGGACAGAGGGACCCACCTGACACTCAGCAACCCCCATCTCCACTATGTGCCTGTGAAAGCCTTCCGCCTGGAGCCCCTCGAGCCCAAGGGCTTCATGACAGTGGATGGCGAAGTTTTAGCATGCGAGCCAGTGCAAGGCCAAATTCACAGACGGCTCACACATATTATCAGTGGCTCCTCAGAAGGCTTGGGACCTCCGAAAAAGGAGCACTGATGCTGGGAGTGAAGGGCTGTGCAAGCACAAGGAGGGATGAGACGATTCCCAAATGCTGCACTGACTCAAGATGTCAACACGATCTGTGCTAGTGATTATTCTCAGGGGGAAATCTGGCTCGCAGAGCAGCTATTTAATCATTACAACATGAATGATGGGTGAGCCTCTTTTGTGGGAGCAGGATTAGATTTTTTTCCCCTTAACTGTTGTGTAGCAGAAAAGGCAGCTTCTGAGTCTTCTTGCTCTGCCTAGCCCTAGAGAAAGAAAAGTAGGTCTCCAAAATTAAACCAAAGGCAGCTTCTCTGAACACTATTTTGCCCTTCTATCTACAAGCAAAACCTTCATGCAAAGCAGCTGAAGCAGAGAACATGACATCATCCCAGTGCAGTATCTGCCCAAATAAAAATAGCTTCATCCCATGCCACTTTTAGGGCCAATTTTAACCCTCCTGTTTTGTAAAGAGTTTTTTCTTTTTCTACAGCAACACCACAAACCTCCAAATCTGTATGTGGTGGTAGGTTATATTCTTATGGAGAGATGAAATAAAAGTTCTACCTTTTTCAAAAAGGAAAAGCTATGATTGAAAGCTAAAGTTGATTTCAGTTCAGTGACGCAGTTGCCTTTGTAAAGGCTGAGCTGTTATAATATCCTACTTCTTAGGATATTATTTGGTCCATTTTGTTCCCTATACTGCCAACTCCATGTGTCCCTATTTGATGGGAAGTTATTCCATTTGCACTTCTCAATTTCCTCCCATGGTAGCAAATTGAGAGGCTAATATGCTAATGTAGCCCTCGCTTCTGAGCATGTGATCGGACATGCTTTATTGGCTACATAGCCTATAGTTTTAGATCAGTGTATGCCACAGTATGTATAAAGGTTCCCCTGACATTTAGTCCAGTCATGTCTGACTCCAGGGCGCGGGGCTCATCCCCATTTCCAAGCCATAGAGCCAGCGTTTGTCCGAATAGTTTCCGTGGTCACATGGCCAGCGCAACTAGACACGGAACACCATCACCTTCCCACCGTGGTGGTACCTATTTATCTACTCACATTTACATGCTTTCAAACTGCTGGGTTGGCAGATGCTGGGACAAGTGATGGGAGCTCACTCTGTCGCGTGGATTTGATCGTACGACTGCTGGTCTTCTGACCTTGCAGCACAGAGGTTTAACCCACAGCGCCACCACGTCCCACAATATGTATACTATCTTGCAAATTTAGGCAACTGCTAAAACTGCTAGGGATGGCTGGGATTAGGCATGGCCATCTTTTCACAGTTGCCAGTGGGCTAGTAAATGTGAGCTTCACGCAACTGGCCCAATTCCTGTGTAGCATAAGCTGTTTGTTAGCTATGGCAACGACAGTCTATGTCAACCATGGAACCAAAATGACTAGACACCCATGTTCAGCTAGAAATGAAAGGCTCATTGGTAACTTACCGGAATTATTCACTTCAGAAAAGGAAGTGTTTGGCATTAGTTGTTTCCACCCTCCCTCCCAAAAGAGTAGGATTTATGATTAACTTTTAAATGTACCACGGTAGTACCTTAAGTGCCTGTGAAGCGAGAGCAGAGAACCTGTTTCTTCGACTAGGGCAGTCTTCTCTTAGGGGTCCTGAGCTGAAGGCTTCATGTCAGGGGTCAGAGCGCAGGGAGACTTGGCAGACCACCCCCTTGTTCTTTAAAACCCTACCCCACCATGCCAGCTGGGGAAAGGAAACCACACACTTCCCAGAGATGTGCTAGTAGGCAGCTTTTGAAATTAAGCACAGGGCTTTCAAGTTCCTCGTCACTCCTGTAATGCAAGAATCAGTACAGATTTCATGATACAGTAGCACTCCTGTTCAGAAGTTGATGAAGAAACAAGGATGTGTTGACTTGGTTCTACAGTTAACAGACAAACCTCTATGTAACTGATAAAGCAACATGAATGTTTCCTTAGTGTAGAAACCAGATTTGAGTTTATGCTGTGTACTGGAACATTACTTGACAATCTTTATTGTTTTTACTATGGTGCTATTTTTATATGGGTAGATTCTATTGCAGTATGTAGGTAATGAAATCTGAGACATTGTTTTTTAAAACCAAGCACTCCTTTTTACTCTTATGCTACAACCAGGAGCAACTTTTCAAGACGGTTTGTGAAAAAAAAATTTAGGCTTGGGTAGGGGGCATTATACATGGGCCTCAGAATGTTTAAATAGGCAGGATTCCTGTTTTATTTCAGCAAGACCAATAGATACCAAATGTATGTGGCCATTAACTCCAAACTTGACTTGCCTGAAAAAGCAGACTGGGCCCTTATGATGATGAGCCAGGTGTTCAGGCCTGCAAAATATACATTTGATAAGAATCGTTTTTGCTTTATCAGCTAGAAACCCACACTGGTTCACATTAACAGCACAACTACCAAGGGGCAATATATAAGCACAGTATAAAGTTACATAGAGTGTAACATTAGACATGGAAAACCTGCCTTAAGCACAAGTACAAGCAGTCTCTACGATTTGCCTGCAGAGAAAGATGAATAGATTTCAGGGTGTTCATGGGGATGAGCAGCTTTACAGATACACCCTACTTGAGGAACAGACCTAGATTGGGGAACATCTGGCCCTCCAGCTATGAGTTTCCTGTTTCCAGCAGCCTAAACCAGGATAAGAAATGGGCAAGGGTGAGACAAATTATAGTCTAGCAACATCTGGAACGTCATAGCCTCTCCACACCTATGGCAGGGAAATCACTGCCAACATTATAAAAAGGCACAGCAAAAAATGAGAACTCTCAAACTTCTCCATCTACCAGAAAAAGTACTGAAAGAACCATGAAGTCAAATTAAATTGTTTTTGCTTGGGGTTTTGTTTTGTTTTGAGATGAGTCAGCTGTGGCTGAAATGGTTATTATTCCAAGCAATGGAAGCTTATCCAGTTTATTTCACATGGGAACCTAAAATGATTCATATCACTGGGCTGAAATGGAGAAGTGTATTTGGCTTATTTCATAGCAGTATAGTTCTCACACACTACAGATAAGTAAGTAATGGTGCAGGCCAAACTACCTTATTTGCCTTTAAAGTCTGCTCCAATGACTCTGGAAGCAGCAGGCATTGGTCTCCTTCCCAGTTTCTAGTACTGTTCAAAAACCAGAAATTAGACAATTGCACCATGTGTAAAACCTCTTCTACATCTAGAATTCATTCCAAGTGGGGATATTGACAGTGCAACATCAGATCACATAAATTTAATTAAACTGTATTTAAATATTTTACCGAGTTTCAACAAACCTTTAATTAATCCCGAAAGTTTACTATTCTGTTCCAGTGTTTGGAGAAGGGAAGAGAAGGTGGGCCTGAAGGTACAGAAGAAAATCCCGCAACTTGGACATTAGGGCATAATCTGCATACACAGAACTACAGTATTCTAAGCAAATATTGTATTTTCTTTTTCTTTCCTAACAACTTTATATAAGTTGCCTTGCTTCCAAGAGCTGAGGTGTGTGCACGGCTTTATTTTCATGTAGACCTATCAAAAGGTTCAGAGACATGGTCACTCCATCTACATTTATAAGCACAGAAGTGGTGGGGAAAAAAATCTCCACGTTTCCTTAGAAAAAGCACATTATGGGGATAATAAATGGATATGATAATGTGTGCACTGTACAAAGTAACACTGCATCTGAGAGAAAGGAGGTCACTTAGTACAGAGTCTGCATTCGTCACCATGGTCCAGTGCTGAAATATACAGGCTGCAAAGACATGAGGCTGCCAAATACGTTTAAGGCTCTCAAACAGGTTTTAGAGGAAGTTTTCCAAGCAGGAAATTTAGCTGCTTAAAAACTACAGGAATTATTTAACCTTTGCCAAGCAAGACATGCAGCACCTACGCAGGAAAAGGAAGATGTTCCTGCCTCAAGAGTTTCATGTCCACCTACATCCACTTTAGAGGAATCCACTGATACACAAGCCTCGCATCTTAAGATGGAAGAAGACACAGCAAGACCCACCACACCTCTTCACAGCGGCAAAACATAATGGCAAGCCACTTTCTCTTCTTTATTACTACATCTTAATTAGCCAAACAAAATTTGCAAGTAAAAAATGAATCACACAATACTTTATACATATATTGTAAGCAACCAAGCATTCACAGCTGCAAAAGTAACACACCTCTAAGCATTTCTCCAGTATGACAGCTCCATCAGTTTTAAATACTGTACAGAATCAAGGCTAGAAATGTATTTTTTGTAATAGTCCTTTTCCCTTCCCTTCCCTTCCCACCCCAGCACTAAACAGATGAGAGACTTTAAATTTATACATCACAATCATGTAGCCCATCTCAAGACTAACAATATGCCTCATGCTTTGGCTTTTCGGTGTGTATTTAAGCATTTTTGTTTCTTGGAAAGTCTCTTCACTCTTTATTACATACATACACTAAAAAGGAAAAAAAGTTACATAGCTGCAGTGTGCTCGGGAGCAACTGCATAACCTAGAGCTTCACATTATTCAAAAGCTTTTTGGGGAGGGGAGCGGGGTGAATGTAAACTTCTGTGCATGCCTCTGGAAGGGGCCGGCAGCAAGGATACTGGGACAGTGCTTGACTCGCATATTAAGATGGCAGCAGATCCCTATGGAGGAGGAGTCAGCAGGATCTTCCCATGATGAAGCCTCTGGGAGATCTGACCTAACTCTTGGTCGCAGTCTTGAGAAAGCAAGGTCCTCTTGTAGCTCAGCTCCTTGCTATCAAGAGCACCATCAGCTGCATGCCTCTGTGTCTCCTCCCACCTTCTTAATGAAAATGGGAGGGCATCCACTGCTCTGAAATGGGTGGGCAGCTCTGCTCTGTGATTGCTTGTTAAGGACAGCTTGCTCTTTAACATGTATCATAATCATGAAGTATGTGGGCAGTGAGCTCAGCTCTCCAAGTAGGATGGAGAATGGCGGCTACATCATCAAGAGGAATGCAGTGACATATAGGAACAGAGACCCCCAGGCCCCTCACTCTTTTCCCCTTCACACCATTAACAGTGCTATTTGATATGCACCACGGGACCTTCGGTCAAATTCTTTGCTTGCCTTGATCCAAGAATTGTATCAAGTGGATTCTTCTCCTACTCTTCCCGGTATTTCTTCTGGTTCATGATTAGCTTGGCCTACCTGTTGCCTTCCATGTTGAGAACTACTACCTCTCAAATCTTGATCCACAATACTGAGAGAACTAGCTTACTAATAGCCAAGTACACACAAAACTCACGCCATCCTCTTTAGCATCTATAACTTGATTATTCTTCTGGAAAGATGGCAGAGTTCACTAGGTCATTAATAGGTCATTAGTAGAGAACTGGAAGTAAGAGGTTTAACTCACTGAGATGTCATGCAATGATTTGTGTTGGGGGGCACACACAGAATGATGAGCACACTGCACTTCTGTTTGGGTTGAAAGAATTTGAACAAACCAGCCATGATTCATCAGAAGTACAAGAACAGGCCCTCTGCCACACCTACCCTATTGCAGCACATTGGTCATTTCACCTGGAAACAGCTGGGAGAAGTGATACACAGTACTGGTACAGGGAATGAAAGCAATGGTGGCTCACAATAAAGACTGTGATTCTTACTTAAAGAGTGGGGGTGAGGGTTAGAAAGATCCATCAGCTACCAGAATGTCAACCTGTTGCTGTAAAGTTGACACAATCCCTGGAGAAAGACAGAGTCAGGCAGAGCTGCCACTTTACATACCCATGAGTGGAAGTTAGAATTGAAAAAAAAATGTGCTGCACCATGCAATTGTTTGAGCATCATCCTGAGGTACCTTGGTGTACATAATTGAGTTGGTAGCAGATTGTTCATGTATCTGGGAGAAGAGTGGGTTATATGCACTGTTCTCCTTCAAGGCAAAGTAGAGAAAGATAGATGGTTCAGTAGGAACTATATACTTAAGACAGACAGCAGGTAAACCTCAGAAGCCAAAAAGAACATTCTGAATGCTGACCAAATCAGGTACAGCTCATCTAACACTTACTTTCTGCATCAAGCTTGTCTGTCATAGGATTAGACTGCCAGGAAAAACAGCTTATATTTATCCTGTTGCGGCTCTTGGAAATAAGTCCAGGCTATGTTATCTCAGCCTTTCTAGGAAACTGATCTCCTTAACTCCCACAAATGTGGCAAGCAGAGAAAACTAAGAATGGGTACAGAGCTTAAAAAGTGGCTATTCAGTGCTTAATAATAGACATACATTAGTGAAGTTAGGTCAGAAGGTGGAGGAACATTACAGTGTAGCATCTTCTTCATTAGATATAAATCAAGGATCTTTCAGGCTTAAATCAAGAACATTTCCCATCACCATTATCCATAGCACCCAAAAGGATCAAAGAAGAAAGAAGAAATCAGTTTCACACAAGCAGGAGTTGAAGAGATGCAATTCCAGTTTTTTATAAGCCCTGGAAAAGAAAAGCCACAGCTCTTGCACTCTCAGGATCAAGTTCAAAAGGAACCATGATGTGTGGGTAGGAATAGCTGTTTGTGCGTGTACAGAGTTCATCCTGTGCATCTGAAGTGTGTGTTTGTGTGGGGGAGAGCCAGCCTAAAATGACTTATGGGAGCTTCTGCTTTCTCTGTAACAAACCAGGCCAAGGAGGAATGGGTGCAGTGAGACAGTCTTATTTATTGTTAACAACTTCTGCTAGTGTCTTCCTCCTGCCTTTCCCTTCTGCTCTGCACGTCTGTCTTGTCCCTAACCTGGTGTTTTATTTGTCTTCTGTCCACTCTGGGATGTTAGCCTCTACTAAGGCAGCCCGGTACTGCTGCAAGACACCACGGATGCTCTTAATGAACCCCTTGGAGAGGGGGAAGAGGGGGAACCCAATATCAGGGTAGCCACTCCTTTCAGGAAGAAAGCTCCTGTAGCTCTTTCTCCTTTTCTTTGGTTTCACAGTAGGCTGTGTGGCAGAGTCTTGAATAGCTTTCCCCTCATCAGCTAGGTCTCTGGTGAAGTGTGCTGCTCGGGCCTGGCCCATGCTCTCGAAGTCTAAATACTGATGGGTATCACTGGCAGGCAGTGTTGACATTCCACAGCCAGAGTCTTCCAGCTCCTCCTTGCCATCAGACAGCTGGTTGGCTGCAGCTCCCAACTCCTGCTCTCCCAATGCCCCCATATTGTCTACGGGGCTCTCGGCCAGGACCCCGCATGCTGAATGTACAAAGGAAGACTCCCCTAGGCAGGCATGGTCATGGCTCCTTTCCACCAGCTCATTCGTTTCCAGCCATGACTCAATTCGGTGGACCAGGCGCCATCCGTTGCAGCGGAAATGCTCGTAGATTTCCTGCTCAAAGACTTCCACTGGCTTGCGCAGCAGCTGCATCATTGACTGCACCACACGGATCAAGGCCATCTCATTGTAGCACCGGCTGTTCTCATAGCCCTCCTGCAAGCCCCGATCACTGTCAAAACCAGCCTCATTGTAGTAAGGCTCGTTGACTAGGATAAGCCCTGGCGGTAAGAAAATGGGAGGGGAGGAGAGGAGGGAGAAAGCGAGAGAGAATGGCAAAAACAAGGGATTTAGAGGACTGTCAGAATACATGGATGGGCATGGAAATATACCTATGTATCTGCTGCCGAGATCTGTCTCACAGTCAATAGCTACAGAAGAAACAGGCAGGCTATTAAATATACCAGGGAGATGAAACCATCATTGAGAATTTCAGGGAGATGGATGAGAAATAAGCTTGATTTTAGAAAGCCAGACCTTGCTGCAGACTTACGGGAGGTGTCTTGAAGCCCATACATTTACTCCTGATTTATTAAAGCCATATAATCCTAAATGTCAGTAATTTATCCCACATTGCTGGCACTGATATATTTAAGCCAAAGCACATAACCACAAACAATCTCTAATTGTGTCGCAAACTGACATTCTTGAAAAACTCGTTTTAAAATCTCCCACTTTTTGGATTTTGGGGGACGGGGGAAGGAGACTTCTATGTGGTTTGAATGACCTATTTATTGCTACTGGCAAAAATCACCCCCAGCTGTTCTGATGATTAGTTAATGACAGTATGCAGTCTCCTTTTGAATGCATTATGATATATGGACAAATTGCTTCACAAATTCACATCAAAAGCATGTTTCATGTCCCTTGAACACATAATAATCACTATATCCTGAAGGCTTACAGCCTACTCCAACAGAACTCACATAGGTGTCCCACTTTGCCATCTCAAATTACAAATTGGGCTTTTCATCATAGGGAACTCTTTGGATACAGAAACTACACACCTTCAAGAGAATGACAGTGATGGAAAATCTGCATGTGCAGAAATAAGCACTATGTGGGCTTGCATGGTGCCTCGTTGCTTTTAATAGGATCTTATTCTGTGGGCTGCTAGCTGCCCATGTGGCGGCCGTGGTTTTCCTTTGAGGGCATGAAATAGAAAGTGACTGGATAGCAATTACAGAGCAAGGAAAGCAGACAACAGTCAGGATGGGAGAGCATTATTTAGCCTTCTCTGGTAATTCCTTGCTGATGGCTACATTCTGCCAACCCCCTCATCCAGCCCTCCATCTGCTGCTTTTGTGGAACTTACCTTGGATTGAGATGAGCACCTGTAGGAGGCTGGATTTACTAGTCCACCTCTCTGTGCCCTGGAACAGACAAATGGTAACAAACAGGTATGTCTTTTTTAGTAAGGACTAAAATAATGTGGCAGCATGGGAAAGAAGTATGCTGCAAACCATCTTCACAGAACAAGGCATCCCATTTTAGATTTTATGTGGAAAATAATACAGTCCATACTGGTACTTGGCTTCACAAGTGCACTCTTCTCTTAGACACCCACTGTAACTACAGACCTAGGCTTGAATACCAACCATCCTGGCTAGATGCAAGAGAAGGTGTGAGTCTGGTTGCTGTATAATAACTGGAGCAAGAAGCGAGTCCTCAGCTATTTATATCACACTCTGATGGCCACTCCCTCTCATCCGACAGTCTGCAAGGAACCTTGCATGCTGTTAGACTGGTGCCCACCCCAAGGTTGACAAGCGAGTGGGAAAGGCTCTTCCAGCCTTGTCAAAACCGAGGGCAATCTACTGTACGTTAGACTCCACATGCAGCAGAAGCCGCAGAGAACAGTCCCAGGCTCTAGGTCCCCCAGGTTATCTATCCTCAGTACTTTCCTCAGCTGACTGGACTGACCACAATGGAAGGCTACCTACCTTCCATTAACTTGAAAGTCCTGCAGGACCCCTTTCAGCACGGAAGGCTTTTAGGGGCTGAAATGGGGAAGTCTTTAATTTCTGAAAATTGCTACCAGTGGCAAGGTCATCCTGCTGGTGGCAACCTTTGGAAACGGAAGGCTTCCCTCCATCCTGTGGCTTCCCCATGATGAAAAGGATCTCGTGGGAGCTTCGATACTTTTGGGGGGCAGGCCAGAAGTAGTTTATTTCCAAACAATTGCTGTGGCTGGTGACACCATCAACCTTACCACTGCGAAGCTATGCAAACAGGATTTCTGTCAGATACCTCAGTCTTCCAAGTCCAAATAAATTCTTAGGAAGTTAGCTTTTATTGTGGTCCTGCCTCTATCAAGGAAAAGAAGGCTAAGAGCCCCGCCTACTCTTGGCAAATCCAGGGCATGTAAAGTCAACCACTGCTATGAAGGAGCACACCTATTTCTCAGAGGACTCTGTCCATTATAGGGCCCACCCACAACACTGCTTATGCATGTACCTTACAGTAGATGCTACATTTGGCACCTGGGTGAAGGTTAGGCACCATGATGACACTGCACAAGGGTGTTGCCTATAGCCCAGCTTAAGGCCTGGCATCCCTAAACTCTGTTACATTATGTGGTCAGCCCACTATTAGTGCCTCATGTGACATGCTTATATGAAGTGGTACAATGAACACTGCAAGTGAAATGAAGGCCAACGCAGCTGTGCAGCTGGTCACAAGACAGGAGAGTTGCTGCAAGGAAAAAAAAGTCAAGATGTGCTTTTACTGTTTTATTTTGAGTTGCTACAACAGTGTAAATATTACATATGTGACAGTATCACGTAATCTTTTCTAGAAGGGTCTGTTGAGAAAGTGAAATATGTTGTGAAAAAAATATTTGTTCACAACAGCCCACTTGCTCCGTTTTCCTACATGCTTAGAGTATCTAGTTTGAGCCAAGGCACCTCACTACAGTAGTGGACATCACATAGCTACAAAGGAAGAGCGCCTACACTACTTTTAAGATTTGTGCCTGGGCAGTGTGGCGTAACTTCACGCAAGATCTTCCAACGGCAGACCCAGCCCACCTTTGGGGCAAAAACACTGATGGGAATTTGGAAGTAGAAGAAAGCTTGCCATTTGATGCCATTTATACTATGCTATTTAGACATGTAAGAATCACAGCAACAGAGAAAAGTTGAGAGGCAGCCTTACCTTGCCTATCCATGTCCCCAGAAGACTTACGCAGACCTTGCCGTTGTCATACAAGTTGGGGTTCAGTCTCCCACTACACTGGGAGAGGTAACGGAAGAGAGGGGGGACAGCTGGATAAATATTGGGGAGCTGGATGTCAAATAAGAAGAGTCCGTCTTCATATGGGGTGCGCGTAGGTCCTTTGACAAGGGCCGAAAAGAGATCCTGTGAAGACACTAAGCGTAAGCCCAAGCAGCATTCCAGGAAAATAAAACCCTAATTCATAAAATGTAATAGTGGATTTAAAAGTGGACCGGATTCTGCTGAAGGATGTTCTCCTCATTTACTCAACATTAAGTCTCTGAAAGGAGTCACAGGGTAGGAACTGAAGGCACAAGATGCAGAATCCCTGCTGAGACTCAGCAACTACTGGCCACAAAGAGTTCCACTGCAATTCAAAAGAAGGCTCTAAAATGCAATACCTTGCCTTAACTACAGGCCTGAACACCTTGCCTTGGCCAATCGACTCAAGCCAGTTGCACTGCATTACATGTTTAATTGGTAAGAGAACACACTTGTTCAGTTGCCCTATTCATGAAAAAATCAGGGCAGGAATATTTTAGGTAAGTTCCCTGAGTTAGTTTTTGGCAAGTCCAGCAATACATTTTTTTAACTTGCTGGTACAACCAATACAAATGCATCAATAAAAGAAAATGTTGCTGTTTGCATGCTACTGACCACTACTGTCACACAGCTTCATGGTTGGACAGATTGCTGCCACCAAGTAATGAGGAAGGCTAAAATTCTGCAGATGTTTAAGGAAGATTCCTGGAAAGCTTTGTATTCTCTCATTAATATTTTTTTACAAGCAATGGTTTTGACATTAACTTGTAATCTGACTAATTTACAGCTTCCACATTGTACTGAAGGGGCAGATGAGCACACATGAGCAAATGGGGCTATTCAGATCTGCAATATAAACTCAAGAAGACAAAAGCAGAGAGGCTGCAATATGGAAGTAGTGGCCAACGCTTGTGGTGACATGAAGGAAATGGCAGCCCTTTCTATAAGCAAAAGTGATTTTGCCCATAGGCAACACATTCATTTCCACTAGGAAATACTTCAGATGCAAGGACAGAAGCCACAGCCTCCTCCCCCCCCAAAAAAAAAAACAGAGAGATCCTGGTTAGCATCTTGCTGGAAGCCGATCTAAAAAGGATTCCTATTTTTCGTGGATGGTGAGCTCAGTTCAAGTTACATGGATTTACCATTCTGTCCTCAAAGGTTTTGACCATGATGCCGTCAGGCAAGGAGGTTGCTAGAAGTGCCATTTCTTTCCTCACTGTGCTGAAAAACTTCTTGGCTTCTGGAGGTTGGAACTCCATTTTCTTAAAGGCATGGCTGTCTAACAGGGTAAGAAAACACCAGGACAACAGATTATTTATCCTTCCACATCCACACAGAATATAATCACTCATAAGGAAATACTTCCGTACCCCTTGATACCAGTCAGAAAATATTTAAGTAAGGTGAAGAAGGCGAAAAACCCAGCTCTCTAGCTCTTCACAGGGAGGCGCTGTGAAGAGAAGTGGAGGTTTGAAATTAGAGTTTTCCTTCTCCTAGATGGGCTGCCTTCCCAGGCTAATTAGTCCCACCTAACCGGCTCATATTGAATATTGATAGAATAATCACACCCCTAGATGATCAGCTCTCCACCAAAAGAAGGTATGCTCCCCACACACCTTATTTTAGCAGGAATATTTTTTTTAAACTGGGTTTAAAAACTGGGTTTTAAAAAAAGGATATAACCTTCTAATCACTTTGGGGTGTAGTTCCCCAAAAGATCCCAGGGCAAAAGCTGGAAAACTTTTAACATGTCCATGAATTTCAATTCATATGAGGGCCAAAGGTTCCACACCTCTGCTTTAGGACATGGACAAGTAAGCCCGCTGCTCCTGCACTCACCTGGAGCACACTCCAGAACAGAGAAAACTTCCCCCTTGGCACTGGTGAAGGTAACACCAGGCCTGCCTCCGCTCTGCTGGCAAAGCACGGGAGTCTCACTGGGCCATTCTGATGCCACTGGGGTCTGTGTCTGTGCCTCTCTCTCTTCCTTCTTCTCCACTTCTGCCATGGCCTCCATCTTTTCCTCTTCCACAATAGCTACGTTGTCCAGAGTCTTCTTCAGGTTCTCCTGCAGCTTTTTAATGTCATCCAGGAACTTCTTTTCCCGAGTGGGCTTTTCAGGTTCTACCGTTGGGGAGGTTGGGTAGCCTGTCAGCAGTTGCTCAACTGTCATATTCTTCAGGCTCTCCAAAATCTTGATGGCCTCCTTCAACTCTCGGAAACTCTTTGGTGTCCCTTCCTTGCCTGACTTATCTGTTGCTAGATCTGCCACTGCCATGGCCACAGCCCCTTGCACCTGCTCCTCCCCGCTTTTCACCTCCTCCACAGGTGGCTCCTCAGGCTCCACTTCCTCAATTTTGGGGTGGTCATCTTCCATGAGTCCATTGTCTGTCTCCCAGCTATCGCTCTCATCCTCCCATTCATCTGAAGAGGCACCACTAGTGCTACCATCCATCGAATCAAGGTCAGTCTCCTCATCCATCTCAGATTCTATGTTATATAAGTGCTGTGAACCAGACAGGGAAGGGCACAGAGTTAGCAAAAAAGTTTGGTGCCTTTTTAATGTCAGCTGGCATCATGAAGTGGTTTAGTCTCATTTAAAAAGGGGATCTGCTGCAACAGCACTTCTTCACTAACAGGATGCCTTAGAGGCACAGTTCCCACCAGGCTGACATTCAGGTAGATCCTACTTGCCTTGAATGTTAGACTTATGCAACGCCTGTGCATAAGATTCTGAATAAGAACTTTCCCTTCAAAAACTAGGGCATCCTGGGTCAAGTGGAATAGTTTACAAAAAGGCTAGAGAGAGAGTTGGGAGTTCCTTCAACTGACAAAAGAGCAGCATGCAACCAATCTGTCAGATGAAGACATCAAAATGATGAACTTCTCTAACAAATAATCTTATTTATTTCATGTGCCATTTACTGTATTATCCCCTTGCAATTTATAAAGCCCTATAACAAAGAAATGAAATCACTATCTTCTGTTCACAGACTCTGCATTTATTATACGCTGGCACTGAACTATACTGAGACAGCTTTCCTTTGTGGCCGGATTCTCGATGTGATATGATCACATGCGACAGGAGTGGGAAGGGAGACAGCAGAGTGCTTTGTATCCCATCGCCATAGTTTAGGCACTGCACCATTTTATTGCAATTAAAGGGAACTGCTCTGTTTAGGAAAAGAAAGCTCCAAATGCCAAGCATTTCATACACACGAACAAGCTTCTGAAGCAACAGCAAACTTTGGTGAGTTCTGGCTAGACCAAAAGAGCAGTAGCTATGTGGGAACAAAGAAATAAGGTACAGGATGACACACTTTTCCTGATTCATCCTCCCCTCACTCTGATTTGGGAGAGATTTAAATCCAAGGTGTCCTCCAGTCCTATGTATTTTTTTACTTTAGAAATATCAAGTTATGCAAAATACTAAATTCAGCATACTCTGATAAGTACAGCCGTGTTCTAGATACTGGTTGAAATCCAGTAGTAAGTCACAACTAGTGCAGCCCCATTTAATAACAACATCATCAACAACAACAAACTTAGAAAGGAGATAACTCACCAACTCTCCTCTGATTCAACAGTCCTACACTAGTTGTAACTTACTACTAGATTTCAGCCTCTGAAACGCAGTAGTAATTTACAACTATAGTAGTTCTATTGTTACTGGAGGAAATGAATGGGGCATAACAATAGAATAGCCTTGTAAACTAATGAACTTCTCTGGTCTGCATAGTTTACAACCCAGACATTGCATCTCATCTGCTCCTACTTCCTTCCTCTAATTCTAGCAAAAGCTTTACTTTCCAAACATTCCATGTCCATGGGGTTTTTAACCAGTATCTGAAGGAATCCTGGACTTCTCATTCTAGCGTATGTCTGCTTCTGAAAAAGACAACTGCTGCACCACTACTGATGTTTTGCCTGCACTACACAACTGCAGGGAAGTGCTGAGTGCATTGGTTTATGTACCAATTCATGGATGATTACAATGAGGTCCGAAAGGACTGGCCTATTCCCTGCTCAAACCCCAAATATGTCTCAGTATCCTGTGCAAGATGCAGCAGGTCCTTGACAGATGAGGTGATGTGGAATGCAGATGGAAAAATCTGAAAGCCAGCATCCTGGGATCCTTGGAATTTCTGCTGAATAAGACTGGACGCGTATCTAATCTAATATTCCTCTTCCCACAGTGACAAACCAACTGCTTGTGGGAAACTGAACAGTTCTTTGCACATGATTTCAAGACAGTCATCCAAATCCCCAGGAGCTTTTGGAAAAGAAGCATGAAGGTGAATGGCAAGAAGGATCAGGAAAATACTTAACTACATGAGTGGAATTCTGTGCAAAGTTCTTTGGATCTACTTACATTAAGGACCATGAAGAACACAAGTTCCCTGAGGCAGAACAATGCACTCCACATTTTATGCAGCAGGTATACCCACACACTAGGGAAAACCAGGAGGAACCTTGTTTGAAACAATCTTTGAACTTGTGTCTACTACTGATCAAAAACTCCTGGGTTAAACAGGTGGAAAGAGGAACTCCATCCCTTAATTCTTAACTCCTGGATTAAACAGGTAGAAAGAGGAACTCCATCCCTTAATTCTTAGTGCATACTGGCATACACTGGTGAGGTTCAAGATACCAATAATAAACAAAGTACACACTGTATGTCTGAAATCTGCTTGGCTCTGCTATTGATCATGGCTACAGGCTACAAGCAAAGCGTTCTCTGAGTACCACATTTTCTGGGATATGTATTTGAAAGGTATATCATCACTGAATCCAGGTCTGTAAGAGCAAGAGACCACTCATATTTTGGATAAAAATGAGGAAAATACTACTAATTTAAGATGAATGCACCATTAGGGACTAATAACTAGTGTCAGCTTACCTGTGGCAGGACAATTGTCCTGGAATTATCAGCCCACACAACCTCCACTTTGCTGCTGAAATCCACACGAGCCACCTGTCCCACAGAAGGCTATGGAAAGAAAATAAGCAAACACTTGAGCAAGCACACTTTATGTTCTGGAATGTCAGGTGCAACTGCTTTCTTGAGGTAACTGGCGCTTGTAAGAGAGGTGAGCCAAGTGAACAAGCAATGATTTCTGCTCTTGCTAAAATCCTATTCTGAAGAGACTCCACAAAGTCTACCACAGAGACACTGCAGGTCTCACTAGATGGGACCCTGATTCCACATCTAGAAACTGCACAACGTATGTGGAGAAGGCTGCTTAAGTTATTCTACCTTGAGGTTGCCTCAATTTGTATTTAGGAAAAGTGTTTGCTTTTGTTTTGTAACTGATCATTTTGGACATGACACGGCTTTATTTACACACAGATTTCCAAGCTTAGAGTGGGGGGTGGGGACAGGCTGAAAGAGGGAAAAACAGCAATTTGCCTTAAGGTATGATCTGACTAGATCTCCTCTTGTCACTGGAGACCAAGGCCAAGAGCATCCATTCCATGGTATTCCTGATTACACATACAGATGTGAAAGATGGGCAGTGAAAAAAGCTGACAGGGAAAACCCCCCAATTCATTTAAATGTGGTATGAGAGGAGAGTTTTAGAGATACTTTGGACCACTAGAAAGACAAGTAAGAGGGTGCTAGATCGAGTTAGGCCTGAAATCTCTAGAAGTGAAAACGACTAAACTGATGATTTCGTATTTTGGGCATATTATGAGAAGGGAAGAATCACTGGACTAGACAATAATGCTGGGAAAAGGACAAGGCAGCAGGAAAATACCAAGACAAAATGCGAGATGATTGACTCAAACCTCACCCCCCCAATCACCTTGAGTATACAAGATCTAAGCAAGGTTGTTAATAATAGGACCTTTTGGAAGTCACTAATTCGTGATGTTTTCTTAAGCTGGTAGAGACCTGAGGGCACATTTTAAGAAATGATTTAACCATGAGCCACTTATTAAAGAACCCTTTCTAATTTCACAGGTGCTAATCCCAGCCTCTCTGAAAATGAGTCTAATGCTATTTGAAAAGTCTACCATCTAGTGGACCCTTTAGGAATTTGGAATTTGAGTCTCTTTGCCTTTTGAGTTGTCCTTGATTTGGGTTTCCAAAGAGTCGTCAAGAAAAAAAATGTATTCAAAACTTCATGGGTTGAAAATGTTTATGCTTGGTTACGCAACCATTTTAGTTTAAGCCAAAATTAGCTGTTTGAAAATTTCAAGACAGCAGACTTCATTGCAGCTTCATCGTTGCAGCAATGTAAGTAGAAAGAGACATGGCAGCTTTCTGGCCATTAGTTACCACCATGGCTCATCCTTCAATCCAAGTAATATTGATTCTGCTACAAAGACAGGAAACCAGTTCTATAGACATGCACAAAGGAAAGAGAGCCATCCTTCTATAAACAGTGGAAGCAAACACTTCTGTTAGGGCCACTACCAGAAAGATGCTATGATACCTTACATATCTCAGTCCAGACCAAGAGAGAGGAATTGCAGCAGTACCTGGCCCCACTACTTGCCTCTCCCCAGTCTCTCCCTTGCCTCATTTTATCCCACAGCATAATTATGTCCCCTGCCCTGCCAGCCCGCACATAACTTGCCTCATTTTCTCCAATGGAAACACCATCCTCAGCATTGCCAATACGTATCACAAAATCAGTTGTGCGGAAGCGGAAGTCTGGATGATCAGCAATGTCATACACACTCACATCCTCCTCTTCTCCAATCAGCTGGCAAAGAACACACAGAAATCAAGACCAACTTTCACCCACCCATCAATTTCCAAAATCTTATATTTGACCAACTTACAGGAAGTCCTTTAATGCTTCACTTCTGCTCTTTAATGCTTGACTTTCTGCTGGCATGGGATACAGTCACTCGTACACAATCATATATGTATACAATCTTTGAAAGAGTGGTGAAGTGATTCAAACAGACATGCATGCACTAGAGTAGAGACTGATCTAGGAAGGCTCTCAAATGAGCAAAGTCTCCATTATATGGTCTACAGTGCTTGCATATTACTTATTCATACTGAACCATTTAAGTACATGGTACTTCAGAGAATGAGAGGACAGCTCCATATTGCCAAGGGGCTAAAAACAGGAACACAAGACACATGGGAAGCAGTATCTTAGCCTCATCTTGTAACTGCCATGCCACTTGTTCATATGAACTGGAAACTCCAAAAAAACAAACTCCTATGTGCATTTTCACTTATTTATTTATGTATTTATTTATTTGATTTTTACCCTGCCCCTCTAGAGTCAGACCATGTCTACTCGTGCAGCCTACACATCCATATCCAAACCCAGGCTTCTGCGGTGCATGCAGTCAATGTTCCTTTTGTCCCCTACCCCAAACAACATGAGAAGCTGAAGATAATTTGAGATAGAAGGATTGACACTTCACACATCAATGCAAGTTCACAAGAAAGCTTCTAAGCAGCATGTCAGAGGGTCACGTTAAATGGGAACAGAGGTTAAACACCAGCAGAAAATCCCAAAGAAGCCGAACTCGGCATTTAACATAAAAGATCTAAAAGTCTAAATCAAAAGGATCAGAAAGGTGTTCTTTAAAAAAAGAATCTCAGTTCACTATGCTTTACAAATGGGATAGAATATCCATGTTTAGTTTTTTAAAGCTAATATTGATTTAGGACTAGAAAAAGGCAAAATCCATCATTAGGATATATTAGGATAGGTAAAGGTAAAGGTTCCCCTTGACAAATTGTCTGGTCGTTTCCATCTCTAGGGGGTGGTGCTCATCCCTGTTTCCAAAC